GGCCCAGGCCGGCGGCGGCGGGAGGCGGAGAAGGGAAGGGGGGCGCTGGGAAGGGCGGGGCGGGAGCCCCTGGTCGCCTCGCTCGAGGAGCCAACGCGGGGGTACGGGGAAGGAAGGAGAGGGGGAGGGTTAGGGGAGTAGGGGAGGGCGAGCTGTAATGGCGGGCTTTGGCCGTGGCGGCGGCTCCGTGTTGGGGAGCCGGTGGCGGCGGCATGGGAACCCTAGAAGCGGGACGGGACGGGAGCGGGAGCCCCTCGTCAGCCGCAGCTATGATGACAACCGGCCATGTGTGTTGCCACCGTAGAGGCGTCCAAATCTGAGCGTAAAGAGCCCCCGGACCAGACATGGCAGCTCACCAGGGTCACCGTGTTGCCCAAGCCACCACGCTGCATTGCCACCATCCCCGTCCTGTGCTACCAACCCCTAGTAATGGCCACGGGGACCGCCGGCCAATGGATCAAGCCGTCGTCTGTTGGGAGCAAGATAAGGCAAAGCCCGCGCGGCGGCAGGACGAGGAGGGGAGGTGGGATGGGTGATGATGGCGGCTAGGTTTCTTCCGAGCCGCTCGCAGTAGCGGCACGGGGGTCACTATCAACGTTTATTTTCTGGCGGAAGCACAAGCCAGAATGCTAGAGAGCACCATATAGGGCATGTATAATTGTTGAAAAGATAGTCTTATCTTAAGTCTTGCATTTAATTTAGAGATGACAAAAAAAGATATCTACAAAGGATCATGTCTTAGCCTTATCTTCAATTACTAGTTATTCCTAAAAACGTGGTGAGACATATTGTGCTAAGAGATCATGTCTTGTCTTCTCTTAAATAAGAGAAGACGAGCCTTTTTTTACCGGTTCTCTCTCCTCCACCTCATCATTTATCCTACGTGGCACTCTTAAGATAGCATCATTGTATATGCCCTGAATGCACAAAACCAAATAATACCAGAATTCCAACAAACCCAGAAAAAAGATGCTCATAATGACACTAATTTTGTAAACTAATTCGGCAGCAGTTTTTCCATAAGCTTAGGATTATGGGTCAAATACATCTACTGGCCAGTTGAGACAACCAAAATACAAAAACAATTACGGACTACATTATTGGGGCATAATTAGTTCCCCGGGCTTTCCCCAAGTAAAGCCTGACGATGCTGCTGCAGTTGATACGGCTCAAGACCAGAGCAGAGCAGAGCAGAGCAGCTTCATAGGGATGACATCTTGTTCCAAATCGCCCGGAAACCTGAAAGCACATTTCATTCCTTAAGCAAAAGGACCAAATGCTGCTCCACAAGTCATGCGGCACAGCTAGCGGCAGTAGCACTAGTATTCATATGAATGGAAGGAATGCGTTTCTTAAAGTTGGTATGAACAGAGATGTGACAAATACCAGGTCTAACGGGATGTGGAATCCCTGAATTTTTGGCAAAGAAATAGAGGCTAGAAAGATATGTAAAACTCTAGGGGATTTCAAAGATATGGTGCAGGGGACAAAAAGAGGAGAAACCCGCTGAATCAAAATCAGTTCAACACCATCCGCCCAATCCTTATCCACCCACGGTGTGACATGCTGATGATTACAAACCCTGTACATGTCCCAGCATTGGGTACATAAGGTGCAGGGGACAAACCATTTTTCCTCTCATAATTTCATATCATAGGGTAATTGTATATATGTGCTACTTAAGAACACATATATAATGATGAATCCATCTTAATTAGCTTAATTACTTTCTAAAAATATTCTTCCTAGCTAGCTCGTCTAGAATAACTCATCCTCTACCCCATTTACATAGAGTATTAATTATTGTAGCCTGTTTTTTCGCCGGCTATGGCACCTTATACTTTATTTACTTTGCCTCGCTACTTTTGTGAGCCAGTATTGGACCTCAGACATTGTCTTCGTACTTCCGTTAAATAAAATGGTTGCGTGCATCATTTATCATTTTGATGCAGAGGCTAGGGATATCCTCCCTTTTCAAAAAAAAAACATGCACAAATGGATGAGTACACTGCATAAATTTAGCTCCATTGTTACCTTGCGTCCTAGTGTTGCTTGAGGGGAAGTATTGTTTTGAAGATCCCGACGAGCACGCCGATGATGGAGAGCACCGCGATGATGATCTTGACATTGTTATAGACGAACCTATGGATGGCGATCCACATCCACCATCTTTGCTTGTACCTCTCGAGCCGTCGTAAGATGCGGTAGAAGTCATCCCCTGCGTGCAGATTGCCGGCATGGCGGCCCTTGAAGAAGTCGAGGGTCTGCTTGTCGGTGAACTCGCCGTGGATAAGACGCTTAGCTCGGAGCTCGTGCACGTCTTCTTCTCGGTCCATGAACATGGCGAAGAGGGCCAGGTAGGAGCTGACAATGTAGTCACGATCGAGTAAAGCAGTGATTGTCTCGAAAGCCGCCATGTTGAGGAGCCAGCATGCGGTGTTCTCATTGAGGCGCAGTGACGGCAGGAAGATCTTGCGGAAGAGGGGGCCTTCCGTGACTCCTATGTCCGTGAACTCTGACGTCTTGCTGAGGGTCAGCTTGACGCCGATTTCGGCGAGTTCGATGGCGCTTGTACCTAGCGGCAACCTCTCCAGCGTCATAGTGGCCGGCGCAGCACCGGTCGGCTTCCCTGCGTCAGCCCTTGCAATAATTCGAGTCCGTCTTCCCGTAGTGGTCGTCGCCGGTCCTCCGGTATCTATTTTTCCCGAAAGCCACCCACCGGTCATGTCCAGTACGTCCAATTCGAGCAGCGCTTCCTGTGCGAGCTGTTTCTCAGGTTGCCTGCCCCTAACGTTGCCAGATTGGTAGAAACGGAAGAGGCCAAGAAGATGTGGTGGGTCGTACTCTCCGATCTCCAAGGGCCTTGCCTCGCGATCAATGCGGGATTGGACATTCATTCCCATCATGGCAAGGAACGCGCTCAAGTCAGGCAAGCCCATGTTTCTTAACCTCATGAGGGCCTTGAGCACCACCCATGGGATCTGGTTCTCTAGCAGAAACATGTCTGTCACGACAACAGGTGCGTTGCCGGCGGCCAAGCATAGGAACGGCAGATTGCACGCTTCTTCGGGCACCGTCATAGCAAGCATGGTCGCCAGCAAGAAGCAAGCATCATGGAACATCATGGACGCAAAAGCAGTGTCGCTGAGGCCCTCGAGCGACTCAGCGTCGTAGCAGCTTCGAGCGGCGTCTGCAACGAAGGCGACCCGATCCTCGTACGCCTTCATGGGGGCGCCCTGGCAGAAGAAGAGTGGTGCCGTCTTCTTGACCGCCTCCATGGCTTGCAGCTCAGGGAGGTGCCGGTGGTAAGGGCCTATAGCCACCATCTTTGGGACAATAAAGCTGCGTCCTTGACAGAACTCCCACAGGGATGGAGGGAACCTATGCATCTTGACTTGAAGGTTCGAGTAATGGCCCCATGCTTTGTCACGGGCTTGCTTCTTCCTCATCCCCTCATCCTCCATGACTGCTCCATGGAGGCCGATACTTATTTCTGGCACATCAGTAGGAATAGGAATAGGATGGGTAGGTGTTGCTTGTGTAACGGTAGACCCTAGAGGGAGTGAAGGGTCAGTAGGATGAAGATATGCCATGGTCTCTACTGTACTACTCCTAGATTGTAGGCTCGATCGTCTACCTCGATCAGTGCGATGTCTCGCTTACTGGCTCACCCTATAGCTGGTGACTGTGAAAAGGATACGTTTCCATCCTACCTGCTTCTATTTGTAGCCGGGGAAGGGTGGTTGATGACTTGATGTAGAGAGTTTTTAGCTCGGGATGGGAATTTAATTGGTAGAAACTTGAGATGCTTCCGCCCGCCTTCCAACCAGCAGAGTAATGGAGTGTCCCTTCTGCAATTCATTCACACGTACTGGATGTGCAACCACCGTTCTAGAATGTGCATTACTTAACATGCCATAGCTAGTGGTTATTACTTACTCTACCCAACTTCTTGGCCTCTTCCGTTCCTACCAATCTGGCAATGTTAGGGGCAGGCAACGTTAGGGGTAGTACTTCATAAAATCTGATCAAACCTAAAGAAAAGTATCAATATTATAATACCAAATCAATATCATCATGTATTATTAAATTAATTATCATATAGTATCTCTTTAATATTTGCATATGCTGATTTTTTTTGTATTTTTGCTCAAATTTTACAAAGTTCAAATTTAAAAAATCTTATATGTGGAACTAAAAATCTTATATTTTTTAATTTTGTCACTTAATTTCTCAAGGCCGGCAGTCAATTATTTCAGATCACGTTGGTTTTTTTAGAATTCTTGGGGAAGCCATGAATAAGGGCATGCAAGAGACAAGGTGGGCCATCGATCTGGCTACATGGGGTGAGGTCGCTTGACTCAGTTTTCCTTTTGCCACCAACCATTGACTCAGTTGATTGGTTGACTTGACTGCAAGTCAAACAAGGAAAATACCACGAGCTCTGACACACAACCCAACCGCGTGGGAGGCCCGGCCGGGTGTGTACTGCCTCTAAGCACAAGCAGGAAGGAAGCTGCTGCGCAGCTAGTACACGAAATACATAGATTGGCCCAGGTACCGGAGGATGTATCCAATGCACCGGCCTAATTCATGCACCCAATGCACCTAATGCTAGATGAGCCAATGGATAAAAAATAGAGGAAGATGATATGGCTAGAGAGATGGATGGTTAGTACATTTGTAAAATAGTCCTTCTATTGTTTAGAAATTAACCCGCACTCCATATCTCACATTCTTAGTCTTCCATAATAAAACTGTTTGCTTATAGTTTTCAGTCCAAATAAAAATACGTCATATATTTTGAATCGGATGTCTGATTTCGAACTGTTTTGACTGACATCTTTGTTTTAATGAGATGTTTTGCCATACATCAAGTTTGAGTATAGTTTAAAAAGCAACGAAAAATATGTTTTCAAAATATATTCAACATTGATATTGTTTCAAAGGTCTTGTCAAGACAAATACCACAGTCAAAACATATCCAAAATCAGACATTCGGTTTAAAATATATCACCCTTTTTGTGTTTGAGCCAAAAAAAAATCTGAACGTACATGTTTATAGAAGTGAGAGATGTGGAGTGTGGGTCGATTTTTATGAAGTGAAGGGTGGCCTCTACAAAAATGATATAGTCTAATTAGTGACCAAATCTCACTACTAGAAAAAGGCTGTTAGTAGCACACCAGTTTTTGCTATTAATGACACACTATAGGTGCGCCACTATTAACATGCCACTAGTAACAAATAGTAATGGCGCACCTTTAGTGCGCCATTAGTATTCCAGATAATAGTGTCGCACCACATAGTGCGCCGTTACTATGCCTAGAAGTGCGCCATTACTATCCGACCCCAACACCAGCTCACTTAACAGGCACTTGTTGATATATCTATCATACCAATCCTACTAAACCTTGTTGATATCTAGGACTTTGTTCATGTTCATGAGTGTGATGAAATTTTGGAAAAATATTTCAAACTTCCCGGTCATATTACGTATCATATTTTGAACATTTTTTCCAAAAAAAACGAAATCATTTTTTTTCTGTTACTAGTGGCGCACCTAGCAAATGGTGCGCCATTACTAAGTTTGAAATTTTTTCCACCCCTCTCTAGATCTTAAAAGCCCCGTATCTTTTATTCTGTTAGGTTTTTGGGGATTTTAAAAATATTCAACGGGGTTCCCCCGGTTGAATTTGTATGTAACTTTTCGAGTAAATGATTTTTCATATAAAAAACTTTTTAATTCGAATTCGTATGCAAAAGTTATGCCCATTTTACAAAATTCCAGAGAGATTTTGCAAATAAAGCCGAAATTTATATTTGTAAATTTCCCCAACAACTAGACCACATATCACATGGGAAACTTATTTTCTTTTATTTTTATGACATTTCCATCATTTTCTTTTATTTTTTTAAACTGAAAAGGCGGTCCAGGGGATGCATTTGGTGAAAAAATTTCAAACTTCCCGATCATATTACGTATCATATTTTAAACATTTTTGCATACATATCAAAAGTGCGCCATTACTATGTGTATGACTTGGTCAAACCTTGGTCAAAGTTAGTAATGACGCACTTTGTATAGGTGCGCCATTACTAAATTTGACATAGTAATGGCGCACCTATGCAGAGTGCGCCATTACTAAGTTTGACCAAGGTTTGACCTCGGCCAAAGTTAGTAATGGCGCACTTTGTATAGGTGCGCCATTACTAAGTTTGACATAGTAATGGCGCACCTATGCAGAGTGCGCCATTACTAAGTTTGATCAAGGTTTGACCAAGTCATACACATAGTAATGGCACACTTTGTGAAGGTGCGCCATTACTATATCAACTTAGTAATAGGGCATCTATATAAAGTGCGTCATTACTATGTGTATGACTGGGTCAAACCTTAGTCAAACTTAGTAATGACGCAATTTTCATCTGGTGCGCCATTACTGTTTTGGTTACTAATGGCGCACCTACACATGGTGTGCCACTACTATATAGCAGTGGCGCATCACATATATAGTGCGCCATTAATGTCCATATTAACTATAGCCGTTTTTCTACTAGTGTCTGGGCCATTCTTTTTCATCTATTGGCCCAAAACCTACTGGTGCATTGGGTCCACAGATTTGCCTGGTGCATAAGATATGTTCTCGCGTATCCCGGCCCATGTAATGTCACACGGTTCGGCCATAGATCGGCTAGACCTATGCCCTCTAAGCACAAGCAGGAAGGAAGCTGCTGCGCAACTAGTACACGAAATACATAGATTGGCCCAGGTACTGCGCCCGGGAGGGCATTGAGAGCAACTCCAACCCGATTAACGGATGACGATTTTGTCCGCTTTTTGTTCGTTTGAATCGGCCGCTCGCTCGTCGTCCGCTCAGTTTACGATTTCGGTCGGTCGTGCGCCCAACGCCCGCGACCAATTTCATGTGCGCGCACAAATTTGAAAAAGGCTCGCGGCCATAGATAATGTCAATGGCTATGCCGTCGCCCATAGTTCATGCCGACACCATGCCAATGGTCGGCATACAATGCCAGCCTCCAAAAAAAACCACCACATAGTTCATGCTGGCACACTGCCAGCGGCCGACACACATGCCATCGCTCAAAAAGGGGCGGGAAATGCGACCACGCAATATCTATTGGGGAACATTGTAATTCAAAAAAATTCCTACGATCACGCAAGATCTATCTAGGAGATGCATAGCAACGAGACGGTAGAATGTGTCCACGTACCCTCGTAGACCGAAAGTGGAAGCGTCTAGTAACGCGGTTGATGTAGTCGAACGTCTTCACGACCCAACAGATCCAAGTACCGAACGTACGACACCTCCGTGTTCAGCACACGTTCAGCACGATGACGTCCATCGAGCTCTTGATCCAGTTGAGGATGAGGGAGAGTTCCGTCAGCACGACGGCGTGGCGACGGTGTTGATGATGTTACCGGCATAGGGCTTCACCTAAGCACTACGACGATATGACCGAGGTGTTAAACTGTGGAGGGGGGCACCGCACACGGCTAAGAGAATAATTCTTCTTCTTTGGGGTGCCCCTTACCCCATATATAAAGCAGGGAGGGAGGAGGCCAGCGGCCTAGGAGGGGCGCGCCTATAGGGGGAGTCCAACTAGGATTCCCAATCCTAGTTGGAGTCCCCTTTCTTTTCCAAGAGGGGGAGAGAGGGGAAGAGGTGGAGGAGAAAGAGGTAAGGGTGGGGGGGTCGCGCCCCCTCCCCTAGTCCAATTCAGTTTGGGCTAGGGGGTTGGGCGCCTCTGCTACGTCTTGAGCTTGCGTTGATTTTCCTTGAAGAGAAAAGGGTGATGCAGCAATAGTAGCGTAAATATTTCCCTCAGTTTTTGAGAATCAAGGTATCAATCCAGTAGGAGGCTCCTCAGAAGTCCCACACGCCTACACAAACAAACATGAACTCGCAACCAACGCAATAAAGGGGTTGTCAATCCCTTCACGGCCACTTGCGAAAGTGAGATCTGATAGAGATAGTATGATAAGATAAATATATTTTTGGTATTTTACGATATAGATTGGAAAAGTAAAGATGCAAATAAAAGTAGATTGAAAGCTTATATGATAAAAGATAGCCCCGGGGGCCATAGGTTTCACTAGTGGCTTCTCTCAAGATAGCATAAGTATTACGGTGGGTGAACAAATTACTGTCGAGCAATTGATAGAAAAGCGAATAATTATGAGATTATCTAGGCATGATCATGTATATAGGCATCACGTCCGTGACAAGTAGACCGACTCCTGTCTGCATCTACTACTATTACTCCACACATCGACCACTATCCAGCATGCATCTAGAGTATTAATTTCATAAAGAATGGAGTAACGCATTAAGAAAGATGACATGATGTAGAGGGATAAACTCATGCAATATGATATAAACCCCATCTTTTTATCCTCGATGACAACAATACAATACGTGCCTTGCTGCCCTTGCTGTCACTGGGAAAGGACACCGCAAAATTGAACCCAAAGCTAAGCACTTCTCCCATTGCAAGAAAGATCAATCTAGTAGGCCAAACCAAACTGATAATTCGAAGAGTCTTGCAAAGATAACTTAATCACACATAAAA